CGCCTTTTCAACTAATTCATTCTGATGTTTGGGGACCAACCTCTGTTCCATCTATCTCTGGTTTTCGTTTCTATATCTGCTTTGTTGATGATTTTAGTAAATTTACTTGGATTTATCCTCTTAAACACAAATCTGAAGCTTACTCTGTTTTCACTAGTTTTGAAAAAATGGTTAAAACTCAATTTAATTCAAATATTCAGATTTTTAGAAGTGATAATGGGAAAGAATTTGTAAATACAGCCTTTGGCATTTTTCTTCAAAATCTTGGGATTCTGCATCACACGTCCTGCCCTTACACTCCTGAACAGAATGGTGTGGCTGAACGCAAGCATCGGCATCTCATTGAGACTGTCATTGCTTTACTCTACGATTCCCACCTTCCTGTCTCCTTTTGGGTTGAAGCACTTGCTACCGCCAACTACCTTATAAATCGCCTACCCACATCCACCCTAAATAACCAATGCCCCTTTGAAGCCCTCTATGGTCGGTCTCCGGATTATGTTCACCTTCGTCCTTTTGGTTGTCTTGTGTATCCCTGGCTTCGTCCTCACACACATCACAAGCTTCAACCACGTTCCACCCCCTGCATTTTCCTAGGTTATCATCCCACCATGAAAGGTTACAAGTGTTATGATCCTATTTCTCAGAAAACGTATGTCTTCTGTCATGTTCGTTTTGTAGAAGATCAGTTTCCCTACTCTAAACTTCCATCTACCCCAGCCTCCTCTAACCCTTTAGGCATCATTCCCATCTTTCCTCCCAGACCAGGCTCACAGGGTCCGGCACCGCACAGTTCTCAAATCGTTCCGTCTGCTACTGCTCCACAAATGGTCGACCGTTCCCCTCATACATCTACCCACGGTCGACCGTCTCCTCACACCCGTTCTGAACCTCTACAGACGGTTCACCACATGGACCGTTCCCCACCCCATGGTCGACCGTCCTCCCAACCCCTCTCTGAATCTCTACACACGGTCGATACTATTACTCGTCCACCCCCACACGGTCGACCGTCGACAGCACTGATCCCCACAACAAATGCCCATCTCATGCAAACCCGTGCCAAATCAGGCATTTTCAAGCCTAAAACCTATACTGCTACCACCACTGATACCTCTCCTCCTACCTCTGAACCTCACACCTATCACCAAGCCTCCAAGAATAGTTATTGGTGCCATGCCATGAATGAAGAATTTGAAGCTCTGAATGAACAGCGCACATGGGATTTGGTGCCCCTACCCAAGGGCCGAGATCCTATTGGTTGCAAGTGGGGGTATCGCATAAAACGGAATCCGGATGGCTCCGTCTCTCGGTACAAGGCTCGTAAAGTGGCCAAAGGGTACCATCAAGAGTATGGCATCGATTATAAAGAGACGTTCAGCCCGGTTGTCAAGCAGCAAACCATTCGTCTGGTACTCACTCTTGCTCTACACTATGATTGGCCTCTTCATCAGCTTGATGTTACCAATGCCTTTCTCCATGGTACACTCGATGAGGATATTTATATGTCTCAACCACAGGGCTACGTCAATCCCAATAGGCCTGAGTTTGTTTGCAAGCTGCGCAAATCTCTGTATGGCCTTAAACAGGCTCCTCGTGCTTGGTACACTTGTTTTGCTACTTTTTTGCAGGGACTTGGCTTCCAGTGTTATCGTCATGACACCAGTCTGTTCACTTTTCACAGCTCTCGCGGCATGGTCATTGTTCTCCTATATGTTGATGACATCATTATTACAGGGAGCTCCTCTGACCTCATCTCTGCTGTTACTCAGGCTATGCATAAAAATTTTCGCCTCAAAGACTTGGCTTCCCTGGATTTCTTTCTTGGCATTGAGGTTCGTCGCTCTGCGGATTCTATCTTGCTTCATCAGACAAAATACATAGTTGATCTTCTTCAGCGGGCTGACATGACTGATTGCAAACCCTTTATCACTCCGATGGCGGCGTGGCCAACCCAGGAGATCTCGTCCACCTTCTCCGACCCAAAATTGTTCCGTAGCCTTGTGGGTGGTCTACACTATCTTGCGGTGACTCGCCCTGATATTCAGTATGCTGTAAATCGAGTTTCTCAGACCATGCATAATCCTACAGAGAAGGATTACTTGGCCCTTAAACGTATTCTTCGCTACTTGAAGGGTACTTCTTCTCATGGCCTTCTGTTCAGAAAAGGCT